TTCTAAAAACCATTCGATATTTTCTAGAATGCCTAAGATATGGCTTCGATTCGCTCAAAAAGGACGCCTTTGAGCATTCATTAATTTGAAAAGCGCCCAGTGTTGACATGAAAATGAAATACTTTTTTCTGCTCTCCGCTTGTGTTCCAGCCGTGACTTGCTTTTGCTTTCCACATTTGAGGGGGCTTATAAAATTTTGCACACAAAACCAAGGCGAGCGGGAAGGCAGTTAAAGTGAAATTAATAAACAAACAGCAGACGAGCGAGACAGCCAAAGGGAATGTCAAGCATACGCAGTGTGTGACGCAACCCTCGACACTCGCAGCGTTTTATCAAGCATTTCAGATTTTCAACTGTTATGCATTTCTTTTCTTCTTTTTTTTCGCCTGCTCCCACATCTGCTTAAGAAAACGCGTTGAGCGGGCGAAATCATAAAAATTGCAATGAAAAATTCTGAAGCTGACGGCTCCAACTCAGGGTAGGAGAGGGAGAGGCAGGGGCAGAGTGTGGGAGTGGCAGTTGTTGTGTGGCATAAACTATAAAGTCAACAAACTTCAGTTACTTGTCACCGCTGCCACGCCCACGCTCACGCCCGACGCTATCTCTGCTCTGCATGTTTATCTGACAACACGTAGAGAGCCGTGAGCCAGGTTGGTGCCTCATTTGCCTCAAGGTTGTTAATTAAGTTGACGTGACAGGCGCTTGGCATTACGTGCCACACTCTCGATTCTCCATTGAGAATGGTGGGGCGGAGAGAACTTTGTCTCTGCTTCGCCATCGGATGCTGCTGAACAGTCACTTTTATATTAAATTTCTAGGCAACACATTTCGCTTTTACTTTGACATTAATATTAATATTAATATTCAATTAGCCAGGCAAACACGCCCCCTCTTTCCCTCTCTCTGCCTTCGCGCTGTCCAATTAATGTTAATTATGCTAAGTAGCACAGCAGACAGTGAACTTTTTCTGTTTTCGGTTGGACATTGAAAAGCCCAAAATTGTTTTGTTTCGGTTTTGGCTTTTAATTTATTAATTTCTGGCTCCCTACTCATAAATCGCATTGCTTGACCCAGTGTCGATAATTGATTGTTCTGCTTCTTCCTTTTTATTGCTTCCTTGTGCTGCGGTTCCACTGTATTGCCAATGGCGTGTAAATTGCCTTCGAATTGCCCAATTCGTAAGCGTTAAATTTCAAATTAACAATTCTATTGTTCAATTTGTTCGATCGGCCCAACTGCCAAACTCTCGAGCTGCCCGGCCCGGGCTTGTTTATTATGCTAATTGCGTCTCTATTTCGTGCTGCTCTGCGCTTTACGGCAATTAGCTGTATATCCGCCGGGCATCCTGCTCGCCGAGGCAACTTTCAAATGTAATTTTTTTTTTATATTTTTTTTTTAGAAAACATCTGCCAACAGCCTGAGCTCTACTGAGAATCGACATTGACGTGAACTCTTCAAGTTGCTCAAGTTGTTGAAGTTGCTCTCTTGTCTGTTTGAAACTTCGGTTCGATAGTATGACGCAAAAGAAAAGCAAATTGGGTTCTGAATTTCGAATAAATACTACAACTCTTGAAGTTATTTAAGTCTCCTCACTCAAACTCGTTCTAGTTACGCTCTTCTTCAAGTAAACTTTTGAGAGTTCTAGGAGTCCCCTTCAAATCTTTCTTCCCATATGGCTGCATACATATATATTAAAATACAACCTGATAACCATATGCGCAACACAAGCATTTGAGAACTCTTACATAGGTCGAAGATTTTGTAATAGTTATATCAGAGGACTTTCACGTTATATATTAATTTAATATATGTATATATATAATATGTTACTGAGCAGCCTTAGCACCTGCCTGCCTATCTGTTATTACATTCAATTGACCTTAAAATTAAAACTTAAACATATTTTTTTTAATATCAAGATATTTTTTTCCCTCAACAGTCAAAAGCTTAATAAGTCAGCTATTATTTTATTATTATTAATATTTATTTTTTGTGTAAAGAGCTTACTTAATATGAGTCTCACTATATTGATCTTGAAGCCAAAAGCAAGTTCTCTTATATTAGTTTATTATATTTATAATATAAATTCATACTATTTTTATTATATTTATAAAAACTTTAACGTCAAAAAATAAATAAATAAATATATATATAAAAATGATTCATCTATGGTCTAAAATAAAAGTACTAAACAAAATAATTTTTTTAACATGCTGCTATGATTATATTTCTGGTTTTAATAAATATTTATTTAAGATAAATCAGTGATTAAATTTTGAATGGGATGACTTTGATTAGTCTATTAAATTCTTCTCTGCTTAAAGATTTCAATGCTTCAATAAAGAATTCTCCTTGTTTATACTTCTTTAACTTCCTACTAATATATATATATATATAAAGAATTCTCCTTGTTTATACTTCTTTAACTTCCTACTAATATATATATATATATGTCTTCATCTTTTATACACATATATTTAAATATAATTATTTCCTTTTCTCGATAATTGTGGAGCCTCTTTCCCAAGTGTCTCACGAATGGCCTTCGATGATTGTTTTTTATTACTTTCATAAGTTTCGCTAAGCATAGCCTTCTGTCTGCTCTGAACGCGCTCGGCATTCGTTTAACCTTCATAAATGATATTGCTTTTAGTGAGCTAGTGGCACATTAGCGCCAGTGCTGCCCATTTATAAGTCATGGCCAAGAACTCGACAACTACGACAACAGAAGCCATAAAAAACATGGCTGACTGTGGTGCGATGGCCCAGTGGTGCTGTAGCTGCACCACCTGCGTCCGGTTGCCACGCATATTTAAGCAAGTCCGAACTTTTGCGCCTCTCGACCTTTTGCCCCACTGCGACTGCTGCTGGGGCTGTTGGGGCTGCTGGGGCTGGCTGGGGCTGTGCTGGTGCTGTCGATTTCAAAATTGAGCTTCCTTTTGGTTCCGGTCAATGCATATAAACTAAGCGGCAATCGCAACGCGGCCAAAATCACAGGCAGCTAACCATGCAAACTGTTAAATGTTTGCATATCAATCTTAGCCCGCCTCCTGCTGCCAGCCGTTAGAAATGGCAAAACGGTACAACTGTTTGGGGCCTTTCAGCTTCAGCTTTCAGTTGCCAGCATTCAGCGTTCAGCTTTCGGCTCTCTGCTCTCGGCTTTCGGCCTAAACCAAGTGGGAGCCATACATTTTGCAATGTTCCAGTGGCTGGTGCTGGCGCTGCTGTTGCCAAATAACTTCCATTTCGTTGTGCTCCGCTTCCTGTTTCCCCTGTGTAAGAGGCAGGCCCCCAAACAATGAAAGCCATTGCCAACACATTTTGGTTGGGGCTAGCAAAAAAGAGCAGCAGCAACAAAATAAAACAAAAACGAATCTATACAAAAAGTTTGCATACGCCAAAAGTCAATTGAAATGAAGGAGCAGCAGAAGCAGAAGCAGGAATAGAAGAAGAAGCAGCAGCAGCACATGATGCATTTTCCAACTCTGGGTAGTCTTCCTCTTCTACCTGGGAACAAAACACACTCGCACACACACACACTTCGCTTCGGTCCTTATGAATAACTTTGGCAATTGAGTTTGACATACATGAGAATTTGTGTAGCTTCGGTTTCTGGGCAAGGTCGCTGGCAGGAGCAGGACTCGGAGTCGCTTCGGACAGCGGTTGCCCCGACGTGATTGATTGATGAAATATTTTCGGGTCATACAAAATGGATCTGCCTCTGACTTGGGTTGCGCCGGGTTCAGTTGAAGATTGAACCCATTACGCTAGTTAACACATTGTACTAAATGTTCGGGGAGCAGGCTTCCCCTTCCCCTTTCCATACCCCTTGCCCTTGCCCGAATCGTTGTGTGAATCTCTGGATTACTCAATGTCGTTGCAGAAAAGGATTTGATTTGTTTATTTTCACATTCCTATCGAAAATGCAATCAGGCTTAAGATATTGAGACTTTAATATATGAAAGGAAATGTAATTTATCTGCCGGTCGATGGGAATATAGGGAATTTATTTTACATTCTGTGAGTGATATGGTGAACGAATTTAGTTTTTTGAAGCAGTTTGAATGTAAACACTCTTTAAAAGACTTACAACTAATTTAAATGTATATATAAAATTTAGAATTTATATAAAAAATTAAGAAACATTTATATATATAAAATTTAAATCAGTTACTTAAAATCTTACTATGAAATCTATATTCACTTCTTGTAAAATCAATATATATTCGTAATAATTTCTCTCTAAAGTCTTTATAACATCTGTATAATATCATTGTGTAAGTCTATATTATTTTTTTAATTTATTTAAAAACCCCAAAAACACTTTTTATATAATCTATTTTAAATACAAATGAATTCTTTATATAAAGTTTAGTTTATATAAAATATAAAAAAAAGATTATAATAAAAATATCTCAAAAAAAAAAGTCTAAAAGAATTAAAATAAATTATTTATTAAATATATATTTATATGCTACGTAAATTCTATATCTTAATCATAAACAAATTCTATGTCAGCAGCAGTTTATAGAGATAATCAAAAGAAAAAGAAACAAAAAATAAAATAAAAAAATTAAATTAAAAAAAAAAAAAAAAAAAACGCTACATAAGCAGAGTTTTCTGAAGAAATGCCCATATGTAAAACTATATAAGTTCTTTGTAAACTCTATGCACAATCTATACAACTGTTTCATTAAATATTCATACATTGAAAATTTATATAAATATCGTTTGTCACTCTTTTAACAGTTTTAGTATTGGAAACTGCTATCTTAAACTTTTCTTCAAAAAGATATATATGTATATAATATGTACTAGGCATATTTAGACATATGTTAGGACTTCTATTAATTTATGAAATGCTCGCAAGACCCTAACATAAGACTAGCCCAGATATGGTTATTGCAAGCATGCTGTGCTCAGATATAGAGTTAGGTTGGTCGTCATCATAATTGTCAAGGCCGTATACTCTTTTATCTTAATTCTAGCATTTCACTCACCTGTAATCGGCACTGGCATAGCAGTCGCCCAGGAAGCGACACTGCAGCGTATTGCACTGGGTGGCCTTCACCTCGTGCTGCACCTCGTAGGTGATATTGAAGCCGTAGACGTCGAGCAGTCGATCGAGAGCCCGCAAATGGGTGCCGTCCAGCGTGGCCATGGTGAAGCGTATCTCCAGGTATTGGCTGTTGAACTGCAGCCAGGTGACTTGGGTGACCTCCTCCTCGGTCAGGCTGAAGACGCGATGGGCGGGCACCTTGAAGTCGTCCGAGTAGTACATGTACTCGGTGAATTTGAGCCCGCCCAGCACATAGAGCTGCGTCAGATAGACCACAATGGAGACGTTGCCCTGTGCGGTGGCCGGCAGCTCGGAGGCATCAATTATCCAAACGCATTCGATGGGCGTGGCAAAGCGATGCGGGAAATTTGGCGTTTGAATGAGGCCATAGCGTGACTTGAGTAAGCCACCACAGCCGGACGAAGAGGAAATGGATGAAGAGAAGGAGCCACCACTGCCACCACCGCCGCCGTTCCCATTGCCATTGCCAGCCGAAGCTGAATGCTCGCCAATGGCAAAGGCATTCAGGGCAAAGTTATGCTTGGCCGCTGGAAAAGGCGGCGGTGGTGGCAATGGAACCGCAGGCAGCGAAAACTTTTGATCCGGGTTGTTTTGACGCCTGAAGCGTGCATGTTGCAGCTGTTGCAGCTGTTGTTGTTGTTGTTGTTGATTTGTTAACAATGTTGCCGCCGGCAGCAGCATGAACAGCAGCAATATCGTTGTTAACCTGACAATTGTCAGCAGCGACATTGACTTGGCTTTTGTGTTTCTTCCGTTTCCCAGTTTCTGATGAGCTCCTTTACGTGTGTTCAACTGAATCGCCACACAGCTGTTCCTTCGTGTTGTTCCCCTCGTCGTCTTATCATTTGGCAAACGATATGCATGGAACACGTTCAGTTGTCACAATTGCAGCTGCAGTCCAGCCACTCATCGACAGCAGGCCCACTGCAAGAGAGAGAGAGAGAGAGAGAGAGAGAGATGGAGCATATGAAATGATGTGAAATTTTTAGCAAAAACCATTTTGACAGCTGTCGTTTGCATTTGAATAACTGCCGCTGTCGTTTCATCCAATATCATCCCCCTCCCCCCTTAGCAGCCATCGCCCATGGTTGCAGCCGTTGCACATGTCACGGCACACTAACACACTGGAAAATCGTAAACTGTCAGCGTGAAAAAGCAATTTGAAAATCCACTAAAAATGGAGCGCATTGCCACGCATCAATCATGGCCGCTGTGAAGCGTGCCGACTCATAAAACAAAGGCTCTAGGCTCTGCGCTCTGGGCTCTGCGTTTTGGGCTGTGGGCTCTCCTCTCGACTCGACTCGACCCGACTTGACGCGGCACTCGAGCGTTTTTCTTTGTCAACTTTCAAATTGTTTTCCCATATTTTGTTGGGCCTAGTGTTGATGCCGCTGCAGATGCCTGCGAGCAGCGCCCAAAGCCCAAAACTGCCAAAAAGCTCTTCAACTGGTTGACTTTCGTAGTTTTTGTGGGGATTTTACTGCCAGATTTGCCGTTGGCCAGCGGAAGCCTCCGTTTAGTGGAGTTAGGCTTAACATCACGCAATCCGGACAGACATATGAGCTAGCTGAGCGAGAATATTCGACAGAGATAGTGACAGAGAGAGAGAGAGAGAGAGAGAGAGAGAGAGAGAGAGAAAGAGATCTTTTAGTGTCGGACTGGAGTAGACAATATTAACTTAGGGATATATGAGACTTTAAAAAACATAAACTCAAAGAAATTATCAAAGTGAGTGAGTTAGATATACAAAAACTTAAGTCAGCAAAAATTTAATAAATATAAACCGAAAAATAATATGCAAAAGGAATACAAATATTTAAAATTTTATAAAATATATGATATACATATTTGTTATCTCAATTTTCATCATATA